TATAAACTCGCTTGTTTTTCATCTCACCCTTTTATGCGGCTCAAAGCCAAATTGTTTAACTCCTTCCCTTCGGCACTAAAGTGAGATCACTCGCGTGTACTTTCGAATTTTAATTTAGTCACTGCGAACTCTCGACTTCACTCTGCTGCTGCCAAACGGAAAAGAAAGAACACGCCGCCGGAAAAGTGGCGGTAACCCCAGATCGAATTCAGGGTGAAAGCGGAGACAGTTGACACTTGCCACTGTTGCTCTCTCGCGGCTATCCTACCGATATCTACTAGTCTCTTATCAACTCTAGTGGCAACGCAATACCTTCTCTCCAACATCCAACAGATGGCGCTAGAAAAGTATCTTTTTTTCCGAGCAAGCGCTACAGCATGGCGCGAGGGAGGGTTGAAAAGGGTTAAAAATACCAAGTAGAAGCAGCGGTAATAAGAAAACTGAACCGAACTGACAGGCGAGTGCAGTGTAAACATTTTCACATTGTCTGGCCAAATCTGGCAAGCAAACAGTTAATGCGCCTGTCGACAGCAGCAACAGCAACCGCCACATGCAGCAAGTCCCCGCAGCAACATACAATGTTGCCCCCGGCAACATGCAACAGTTTTTGCGTAGGCGGTCATGAAACTAGAGATTCGACAAGACGTCATTGCAGAGGCATTTACAACAATAATAAAAAAAAAATTATAATAAATCAATAGCAGGGACGGAGGAAACTTGACCATGTCATGTTCGAAAATTTATGGCTACTTACAAGCACAAGCAATAAATACACAATTTATTAGACAAATATTTTGGGGGCATGAAATTACGTATACGTATGGCCCTGCTAATGATACATATCTCGAGTTGACCGAGTGTGTGTTTGCCCTGTCCAGATGTCACTTCATTTTGAGGGCGTCTTATGAAATATTGAGCAGATCACAAGACCTTCGGGCATGTCAATCGATTTGGGCCAAATTTCGTCCCACTTTCGATTAGCCCTGGGGCGGCAAAACCAAAATTCAATTCAAGTTTCATAATGAAAAATGTGTCTGTGAAACTGTTGAATAGGTTTTTCTCCCCTTTTTTTTCGTATTATTTTTTCGTTTCTTTGTTTGGTACGTGCCAATAAAAATTCGACTGGAGTCGAGGCACGCGGCTATTTATGTGGGTCATTCACGCGCACGGGATGTGGACCGCATCCGTAGTCCTTGTGCCTTAACGTGTGTGTGTAATTTACTTAGGAATAGATACAGATATGCCCACGGATACAGATACGGCCACGGATACATGTGGCACAGATACGCGGCAGCCAGACACGCCACTTGAACCCCGATTGCGCCCGGTGGCGGTCGCTGGGTCGCTTGGTCGGCAGGTCTGCAGGTCTTCAGCCACAAGGTGATATCCTGTAAGGAATGATGCACTCGGGCAGGGCTAATCGTTTCACATGTACAGTTTTGTTAAAATTTATTTCAGGTTGAAATTGATTTTTGCAAATAGGTTTGCATACCAAGCAAAAAAGAAACATTTACAAGTCGAAAATTCGCTCAAATTCCTGATTTAGGTTTTTCAACAAAAGTCCATATTTTCCACCCAAAGATCATTAATTAATGAAGAGAGAGGGTTGGCCAAATATAGAATGTCATACATTTTTAAACTCTTAACAAGATCTCCAATTGATTGGCATTCAAAGCGCGAAAAATTGATATTTTTGACCCTTGTCAAAAATGAGAAAATTAAAAGAAAAAAATTATTCTTCTATTATTTTATTATCTAACCAAATAATAATATTCAAATTTCAAAGGTATTTTAGCAGTCCTTAATCCCGACTCTCAACATTCTTTGCTGTTTCCAAACAGCCATTGTTCCCCTTGGTAAGTTGAGAGCTCTTGCGATGGGGCTAAAACTTATAATCATGGCATCATCAACAAAATTATCGTTTTGCCACAGACAGCACACATGTGTGGAGTGGAGGTCCTGCACAGATACACTCGCCATTTAAGAGCATAAAAGCGAAACGTGCTCGAAATGTGAATTACTCGCGCCCCAAAACCCACACACACACACACACACACACGCACACAGACACTCCTACACACACACTGTTGCACTTGAAGTGCCTGAGTGTATGTGCGAGTTGATTTTGCTCTTTGGCTCCATTTTGGTTCATAACTTTAACTATTTTACACGAACCCAAGGAACATTTACTCGACTTTTTCCATTGTTTCCCCTCTTTGTTTTTCTTTGCCTTTATTTAGTCGCTTTAGTGCCTGCTTTCTTTTCGGTCTGAAGAAATGTGTGGATGGGGGCTGAGTTTGTGGATCTGGCACCTTCAATATCTTACCATTTTTTTTTTCTTGGCAAATTAACAAGACAGCAGGAGAGTGTGGGAAAGGCATCAGCAGCAGTTTGAGCTTCCCTTTTAAACATTGATTTCCTGGCACCTAGGTACATGGCTTATGTGAACACAGCGAAAAATTAAAAGTATTTTATGTATAAGTTATTACAATATTTTGGAGCAACTAATGTCTTTGAAATTTTATGATAGTTCTAAAATAACGATTTCAACGATTTTTAACAAATATTTGCAAAACCCTTTGGGATACAAAATAGAAAAATATGCCATAACACTAGGGAGGACTTAAAAACTTTGAAAATTAAAAAAGGACATTCCCTAATTTAATGTTTCCCAGTGACTATCTTGCTAAAAATAAACTTTTCTTCCAGTGTACATATACATATATGTATATGTGTAATTGAAGCATCGAAGAAATCGCAATTCGCACGGACGCATTTCCTCGCAAAAGCAAACAACAAATAGAGATATATAAAAAAGAGAAAGAGGCGGATATAGGGTGGTGAAAGAGAGGTGAGAAATGGGCGGGAAAGAGAAGACTGCTCCATTCAGCGGCTGCGAGTGGCGAAAACCTTTTTGGCGCTAATTGCAATTACACGAAATATTATTTGCACACATTTGCAGTCAAAGCCGCAATCAGTGTGACAGAGAGGGCGCGAGTGCCAGAGGGAGATGGCTATAGGCGGGCGCTGTAAGAACAAGCTAACAGTTTAATCAGTTGAATGAACGCGAAATCCCAAGACCCAAATGAAGGCCAATCGGCCTTAATAATCACATGAGTGCTGTTAAAGGTAATGTTAAAGTTTACTTTAAGGATATTACAAAAAAACTGTTTTCCAACTTAAACTCACATATTTTAAATCCTAATTTACTAGGATTTCGAATTAAGATATGTAATAATAATATGCAAAAAGCTCAACACTTTAAATATTCATGTTCAACAGGAGCTACTGAACTGCCTACCTTAACTAATTTTATTTATGAAGGTCCTATTTTTCCAACTCGTAACTGACCTACAAAATGCATAAATAGGCAAAAGGACAACAATGGCTGAATCCGTAATGGAATCTGAAACCATCACAGGATTGTTTGCCAGCCTCATCCAGTTATTTGCTTATCCAAGTCAGCACCTGATACCCCCTTTCCCATTCCCCAATCCCCCATCCCTGTCAATTCCAGTTGCAGTTGCCATTCACAATTGTCTGGCTTGTCGGCCGATAAGCCCACTCCGTGGCACTTTGGCCTATACCCCCACCCACTTCAACCCCTTTTGCCCCCAACTAAACCCCTTTTGCCCCCCAAACTAAACCCCTTTTCAGCCCCCTTTAACGCCCCGCCTGCGTGCAATAAATCAAACATCAAAGCGATGAGCCAACTTGAAATGGACTGCAAATTTATGCAGCGACAGCTCTCAGTGCCCGATCCCAAAACCCGATCCCCATTTCAATGACAGATGGCGGAACAACAGGAGTAAACAAATCAAATACTGGCACACCCTGGTATTTATAAGTTCAAGCGTTGCAGAAAACAGCTTTAAACAAATTACGAATTTAAATATCAAAGGAGTAGCTGTTGAAAACATAGGATATTTCACTGACATAAATAAATGTTATTTTGGGACTAGTATTCGCCTAAAATTGCAGAATCAAATATATAAGCGCATGGAACATAGACAGTAAAAGAAATTCAAGAACTGACATACCCTGGAACTCATTTTAAATATTTACAAAAAATTGAAAATTATTTCACAATTGAAAAGTAAAATGTAAATGAAGCAATAAGGCGGTTTTTAACGGCTTATAATATTTTTATTTAAGAACTTAGTATGTGCCTTTACAATGTATTTTATAGTCTTCTCCACCAGACTAACTAAGTATCATATTTTAAACGGAGTATCACATAATCCAGAGATGTCAATTTTTCATATGCAAATGAGTTTTTTCATTATAATCTCACCTCTACCTGTTTAGTTTATTTGCGCCTGCATACGATTTACATGCATGCGATAAAGTTGATTAAATGCAAAGTGGCAAACGGAATTTCATTTCCATTTTTCCTTCCCCCGGCGCCAGAAAATATTGAAAAACTTGAGGGAAAAGAAAAAAAACAAACTGAGGGATTCGCAAAAACAAACACAGTGGAGAAAAGTCAAGGAGAAAAAGACCAACACTGAAGATTTTAGAGTTAACTTGTTACTTACTATGTAAAAAGTTATTTTTATTTATTTCGATCAAAAGTTGTTTTATTTACTTCTTCTATTGTTACCTTTTTTAAAAGACACACTGTTACTTCGATGTTAAAATATAAGATTTATCAAAATAGTTTCTTATCTAAAAGAGAGAAAGTTCTTGGACTTTTCCTCCAGTGCAGATGGTCAGCAGGACATATTGAAAAAGTTATGAAACGGAAATGAAACGGAAGCTGACAATATTCTGCAACGACGATGATGGTGACTCAGCAGCCGAGCATTTGTGCACTCGACTTTGATCATAGGACAACTGGCCACCTTTCCATTGGTGACTAGTTAACATCGTTGGCAGCTGCTTAATTGGCCTGGAATTTAGCGTTTATCGACAACTGTTTTTTGCCGGCCTCTTTCTGCTTAACTGAAAACAAATAAAAGGCATTGAAGGGCGGAATTGGCGAGTCAGAGGGATTTGCCATGGCCGACAATAAGCACCAAATGCTCTACCAAGGTCAGGATCCTGGCCAGGATCTGCAGGCACAGCGACCTTTGTCCCTGACGCCCTCGGAACCGCCCACATACGACGATGCCATGGCAGTGCCCTCCATTCTGACCAACTTGGGCTACTCCGCCGATCGTCGGAGAACCTTCTTCCCGGAACCGCAACAGCTGAGGCTTTGTCTGGAGGAGGTGCCCTATGTGGAGGATGGCTATGAGATGCCACAATTGGAGGATTCCCCAGGAGAAGAGGAGATCAGTAGGGTGATGACATCGCCTCAGGTGCGACGTGAGTTTGGTAGTTCCCATACTATTGAGTTTCCTGACTTCATTTTGTATTTTTTACCAGATTTCTTCGCCCTAGCCCCTCAACCCAAATTGGGCTCCCAGGCGGTGGACATCGTGTGCCCAGCTTGTGGTGAACGGGGAACGACTCGCTTGAGGAGGTCACCACATGCTCGTACCAACATCTGGGCCCTCTGGCTATGCACTTTTGGGTGAGTAGAGTATTTTAATTAATTTAGCTGAAAGCATCGTTTGGTAAATTGGTTGTGATGGTCAAGTTAACAAGTTAAATAAATTTATATATATTTAATTGGCTACACGGACAGGAATCTCAGTTAAATAAATAAGAATGTAAAAACATTAAAACCATTTAATAACAAATAATCGACTACTTGAGGGGTTTAATCAATAACTGTTTTAGAAAGCCCTTTAAAATTCTAACTTATTTTAAAACACATTTAATGAAAACATGCATTTAATTTTGCGGCAGTAAACTGTTATGTTGTGTAATATCTTAACATACCTTTATCGACAATTAAATAACTGAATCACTACCAACTATATTAAATACTTAAACTTAAAATGAATATATAATACTATAACCTATATCGTTGCAATTAATTTCTATATAGTGTATAAGAATTTCTTGTATAATACTTTATTCAATTTTTAAACAACTTGAAAGCTACAGCCAACTAAATTAAATACTTAAACCAAAACTACATATATTTACTAAATTTAAACTGAAGTTAGATTTGATTTGGATTACTTAATCGTAACCACTTATCCCTTTATAGTTGGTGCTGCTGTGCCTGCTTTTGTCCATATTTTTGGAATGGCTGCCGGTCGACGAATCATTACTGCTCCGCCTGCGAGATCTTCCTGGGCGCACAATATCCTGCGGGCGGATGGCGGCGGTAGTCCGGAATCCGGATGTATCCGCCAGGATCGCAGCCGGAATCCGTCCGCTAATTGTGAAAGTTTTCCGTGTGTGTGAATAAAGCTGAGTGAGCGGCACGCTTCTGACCACAAGGACTTGGGGCTTATTCGCTTGTAATGAGTAACAGAGTCGGGCGCGGCCGGAAATTGTGCGCCGTCAAATCGAATTGCCTACCTAAGCCCATTGCCCATTGCCCACCATCCTTCGTCCTTCGTCCTTCGCCCCTAAGTCCCCATCCACCCCCACCACCGATTCCCCATCCCTTCCGCCCAAATGATGCATAACTGGCCTAAACAAATTGCCTCATCATCACTCCGGCTCGCACATCCTGCCACCGAGAGCGAATTGTTGTTGATGCTGCTCGTTATTGATACCCTGCCACGGGTGTGGGGAGTACTAGGTTTCAAGGCGTTTTGGTCACGATGATATGCCATTTTAATTAAAAAAATAATCTTATCCTCTGGTTTCTTAAATCACTAGCATAGATTTATCACAGATGTTGGATTTGCAGCTCAAACTATACAGAAAATAAAACATTTGGTTGCAAAACAAATACAGAATGGGAAAACATCTAAAAAATAGTTTATACGTATTAAGAAAACATCTGACAAATATATATAGACTTACCAAATTTAAAAACATTTTGTATCTATAAGCAAAATAATTACTGGTAAAAGTCCAAAAACTATTAGTCGTACAGCACATGCTTGATTAAATTAAAACTACTTAGGGTCAGTAAAGTAAAATATAAAAACAAATTAAATTCAAATCTCTTGGCAAGGAATAGCCCTTTAACAAAAGAGTATCTTAAAATGTAACTCATCTCACGTTGCTTGGCTTCCAGTTGCGCTTTTTGGTTTTCGAGGTTTCTGCCTATTTCAGTACTTTGCGGGGCTTTGTTCATTTTTTTTTTTTTTTTGGCTACAATTGGCCAGCGGTGGCAGCGAATTCAATTAGCGCCTCGTGGGATGCAGGCTGCACTGCAACCTGGCCTTCGACTGGGCCAAAAACTGAAAGCCAACTGACTGACTGACTGGCCTGAACTGCGGGCCGAGAACAAAGAGCAGAGCTCGACAATTAGGCGGGTTAGTTGGCAACAACATAGATGGCCATAAGAGCATTATGGCCAAGTGCGGAATGATGTGGGAGTTGCGCCTCAATCGCATCAAGTATACGTCGCTTTGTCCATGCGTCTGTCGTAATTACAATAATAATCATAACAATAATAATAATATGTAATGTGAAAACAATGAAAGGAGGGCCACAATAATATTACTTTTATAAGATTAACTTGCTGCTTCTCCTTTTGTTTCTGATCATCAATGTCAAAAGTAGGCAATCCTAAACAGTGTTTCCAAATATGCTCTTTGACCTCCTCAATATATAAAATATTTTTATTTTAGTTAGTTTTTTCAGTATTATATTCCAATTTCGGGCTGTTAATTGCATAGTTATAGTTAAGTTGGAAATTTTTGTTACGAGTTTAAATCTGTGAATGTCACTCGATTGGAAATTTTTAACGAGTTCAAAGAGGTAAAGCATTTTATTATTGGACCCTTATTAGAATTGCTAGCGTAAAAATACTAATTATTTTGAGCGAAAAATAGTTGAAAATTCAGTTTTTTACATTTCACATTTTTTATAATAATATTTTTTACAATTTTACAAAAAAAGCTGTGAATGCCATTCGAAAAATTGTTAAGAGTTTAACTTTATTAAACAATTTTGCAGTAACTTAGCCAAACAATCTCCGCTTGATTTCGGAAAAAATTATTACGTCTATTTTTATTTTTGATTGTTTTTTACGAACATTGTTTAAAAAAAAATATCGTAGTTTCAAAAAACCAGTTGGCAATACAAATATCTGTCGGTTATTAATATACCATATACACCTACATATTTACAAACTGAATTTTTTGTAATAGTAAAGTTGCCTGCTTTGGCACTGCTGAAACATATCACATTTTTTATGGCTCCTTTCCGTTCGTATATTTACGGATATTTCGTGGATATTTGCTGGTCGTCGATGAGCCGTTAACGCAGCTGCCACTGTAACTGCAGATTCGGGGGCAAATCCCGTTTGGGGCGAGCGCTAATCAAATTACCACACAGCCGCGCAAATCAACTGCAAAATGTTTTAATTAAGAGCGGAAGAAAAGCGCGTGGGCGGGGCGAATAGTGAATGGGAATGGCAAATTGCAATTGCAATTGCAATTGCCATGCAAATCGACGCACAGGAACCGACAGCAACAGTTAAGTCCGGCAGCAACATCATGGTCCGTAATAGTGGCTCAAATGACAGCAGCAACAGCAGTAGCGATAGCGACTAACTGTTTCTGATCCCTCCCACAGGTCAGAGGTCACAGCTGCAACAGTTGCTGCTGCAACTAGCAACAAGAACAACGGTCGACAGCGACAAGTGCAGCAGAAGCATTAGCTGGCAAACAATAGTCCAGGTTTCTTTTTTAAAAAGGCCTTAATGCCCCATAATATTTTAGGGTTTTAATCGAAATGATCCAATATTATCTTTACTTTTGTATCGGGTTTTAAAAGGCCAAAGTGGTTGTTAAGATCTATTTTCTGCAAAAAGTCAATTAGGAGAAGATATATTACTTCAGCACAACATAATTTGTTAAACAGAATGATATCTTGTTATATCAATGGTCTACTTCTTATATTAATCTACAAAAAAACATATGTAATATTTATTCCAAAAAACATGCTCTAACAAATACTAAATTAAACTTAGTACGCCAACAATAAATGCAGTGCAATTAGAGAAATAACTTCTTCTGTGACTTAAAAAATAAGCTGCAAAAGTTATGACACCGAATATAAGAGCACCAACTTTCCAGATCAAATTATACGACAAAGAACACGTCGAACAACTTTATCCATGTCTATCAATCAAATAGCTATATGAAATATTCCACCAACAACTTCTCTTCCAACAAACTATTTCAGTTAAGCGTACCAGCTACATAATCATGCCGCTTTATTGGACAACACCAATTGATCGGCAATTTCTAGGACAAATAGCAACAGTCGTGGAGACAATAAACGAGGATTTTCAAAAACAGAGCCCTGCGATTTCGATTTGCCCATGCCCATTAACCATTATCCATTATCCCGTTTCGCCGGAGTTCCCTTTTTCTGCCTTCGGTCCCCCCTCCATCCCAAAAAAAATAAACCCGCGTCACGTAGGCAAGCAAATGAACTGCAACTGACTTCTGGCTTCTGCAACTGCCGCACACCTTTGGGGTCCCCCCCCTTTTCAGATTTTGCGATTCGAAAGGGCGCAGGCGTCGGGCGACAGGACTCGTCGTATTTTGGATGCCGACGATTCCGATGGCGATGCCGAATCCGATGCCGAGTCCATTCACCAAAACAGAAGTTCGGCTTCTGGCGTGCGGCATGTTGCAAGTTGGCAGAACTGGCGACAAGGCTATATGAGTGCTGGCAGCGGACTTGGTGGCTCAATTGCGCCTCGCACGTTGGCCAGGCAGCAGGTCCTTGCGGCACCCGAAAGTCCCGAATCGAGCTTAACGCATCGTGGCCGGCTTGCGAATTATTACGCGTGAGCAACTGAAACTTCAAACTTCGAACTCCAAACTGAAACTCAGGCGGGTTATATTATCCTGCATTCGCCGGTTCGATTGTGTGTGCTTTTTTTCCAGTGCTATTTGTAGGGGAGAAGGTCCTGCTGGTTTTCCAGTGTATCCTGGCATATCCTGGTGTACAGTAAGTACAGTAATCCCCCGCGTTCCGCGTGTTATTTCCGCTTCCGCGTGCGTGCAATTAGTGGGCGGCATGGCGGCCCCGAGCCGCCGCCACCGCAATCGGCCGAAACGCTTGAAGACAATGTCGCTGCTACAACTGGTGGCAATACTTTTGGGGCTGACTGCAACGCTGGCAGCCGGAAATGACGCCATTTCCGCGCCGAAAACGGCAAAGGATCTGCAGCAGCAGCAGCAGCAGCAACGCCATCAGATGCCGGACATCGAAGATGATGGCGGAGCGCGACCAGACAAGGACTTTGACTTTGCCGCCTATGTGAACGGTGAGTTTTTTCTATTTTGCCACCACAGAGCATTCCCAAAATGGCCAGGGGACCCAATCACTTTCGCATCCTGTCGCACTCGCCAAAATGGAAATTAGCCTGCCACTCTCCACAGAGACTTTCACGTGCAGCTGAAAAGCAATTTTAGTACTCTAAGTGGTCACAAAACAATTGAGTGTCTGGACTGCGCCAATTTCCAGCTCTTAGCCGCAAATATATTTAATTTGATTGGAAAACTTGGCCACAAGTGTGCGCGGGGTAAATCATCTACAAGGACTGCGCAAAGTGGCTAATTGAACCAAGCACTTTGTATTTCTAAGTAGCATAGTTATGATTCGTAAATGGAAATGTAGCTATGCAAAAGTACCTACCATTTTGTGTAACTGAATAATACAAAATGTGTATTACTAGTGTATTACTTTTAAATCAACTGCTTTCAGGAATAGAATTAGAATACTTGAATAGTACCTACATCATAATATACAAATCCCTGGTGATTCGAATGCTCTTGAATCGATCAACTTAAATCTATTCAAACTCTTTTTTTATTCCAAGAGCTTAAATCAAATCAAACACGCCAAATTACAATATTCAATTGTTGATTTTAAAAAAATACCTGAGGTTTGTTATAACTAAAATAGAGAATTGGGATCCATTTTTAAAATTTGTAAAATATTTTTAAGGTATAATTCGTATGTCCTCAGCGATTTGTTTATTTGTTGATTATTTTGCCAATCAATAAGTATAGAATTCTGGTCATAAATTAACCTAATCAATATGGAAATTTCACCTTCGCAAACAAGATGAAGTGCCCCCTTGCTGCACCCATTAATACTTAATCATTTCCAAGCTAGTCAAATTCCAGAGTGCTTTCCTGTTAATCAGAACCTAATATCCAATGAATTTCACAGGAAGTGCCCGATATTAATCAGATATTCTCCAAATAATTTCCATGTCGAAACTTAACAACCGAACAAATGCTAAATCGTCTATGCTAACAGTGGTAATTTAGAGAATTTCATTTTATATTTGCCACTATCAAGCTGTCAATTGCGAATTGAGGCATATATATTACAATTGGCACCTATATATGTACGTATATAAATATATATATGGCTGAGATAACTGCAATGATATGTCGTCCGAAATGTTTGCTTTGCTTTGCGAAAATTGCAATTTAAATGTTGTTAAATGCGAGGATGGTGTTCGTGTGTGTGCTTTGCCACTTAACAGTTACACAAAAGTCACACAAACAATTTTTAGTGGGGCGATTGTGGCGAGGGGGGAGGGGGTTTAGGTATAAAAGGCGAACTGACCGCACTGACAAACATTTCGTAACGTAAAATTTATTTATACCACTTGTAACTGCAAAATGTAATTTTGTGGAAATCACAAAATGAGTTTGTGGCACACGAACAGCCAGCATGCCCACACTGCGTATGTGTAATCCGACTGGCAAGCAATTGCATTACTCATACGCAGTGTGAGTCGCCACCCCCCTCCCGAAATGTATGCTATAAATTTTTGCATGTCAATATGCTTAGCCATTCGCTTTGCCCCCATTCCTCATCCATTCGAAAGCAATTAAATTCGGAAAACACTTGCACAAACACATGATAGTTATACAATTATTGCAAGTGTGTCTTGCTTTTGTGTGGCAAATTGAAGAAGGAGGAGGAGACTGGTTGGCTGCTCTGACTTGTTGCACCATCGATATTCAGCCACTTCATCGTCCCGATGAGATCGAATCCACTCAATGCCATGCGTTTACACTTTAAATAGCCGGCGGCCAAAGGTAACACCTTGCGCCCTGTGCCTTTGCTTTTACTTTTGCTACTTTGCTGCATCCGTTTTGCCATAAATTATAGCCCGATAGGAGTGTGTGTGTGTGCCACGTGGCTTATGTGTGGGAGGTGTGCGGGTGTGTGCCCCATGCATATGTGTGCTTTGCAGGTGCGGCTTTGTTTGTAGTACCCCGCAAGGTACGAGTTCAAAGGGTAGATTCGTTCGAGTAAATGTATATATATATAGAATATTTATGCGCCCCACAAAAACCTTTTCACTTAATTTACTCCAGATATTCGATTTTTACTAGCTTTGAAATTTACTTTAAGATATTTAAGATGAAATTTTCTAAATAATTCCACACGCAAAAAATCTGTAGTATTACAAAAAAAGATTTTAGACAAAAAATATTTTAGACATCTTTTTTTGTATTATGTTAAATATTAAGTAAAAATAAAAGTATACCTAAAATGATATATTTAATTTATCCATAATTTTATAAAGTTATTTTATTTAATACAAATAACTAGATATGTCTGTGTTTAAAGAATTTTCTTTAAATTACATTACAAAACAGTTTAAAAACATTTTATTAGATCAAACTAAAATCTTAACTTTCCTCTCTTTTAATTTCTTGGGAATATTTTGTAGCCCAAAGTCTGACAATTTAATTGAAATATTTTGCCAAAAACAAATACTCAGTATCTTCACTTTCGATCCTTGAAAAATCCATCTAGATACTTTTTCGTTTATTTTTGGTTGAGTGCTAACATTTCGCTGATTTTACAACCGCGACAGGCAGCGTTGACAGCCGAAAAAAAGGGGAAAGCCATAAAGCGGTTGGCTTGCAAAGTTCGAAGAGTAGAAACCGCTGTTGGCCGTCGTTGAACCGTGGAAACCACCCTCGCTTGTTGGCCAGCATCGCCGGCCATATGGTCCATATTTAAACCTGGCCATAAGCCGTTTGTTTGCCAGTTTGTGCCGTTGTTTGTTTGTTTGTTGTCACCTTGCTGGTGGCATTTTCTCGCCCTCCTCTCCATTTTACTGTCATACTAATGCTTCAAGGATACTGTTTTGGAAGTTGGCTAATATAAGAATGGATAAGTAACAGTGTAGTGCAGCATATCTATCTATATATCAATATATATTTTATTGCTTATATTGCTTTAATTCCAGCTTTTAGTTTTATGTTTGCTCACAGCTGGAAACCATCGAATATCAGCAAGGAAAAACTATTTAAATAGCTAACAATTAATTAGGGACTATTTAAATCTCTATTCAAGCTAACTACAAAGTAATGAAAAGTTAGATTTGTTTGCGAGTTTTGGTGCCGCAAAGTTTTGTGCTAGTCTATATATTCTAGAGAAAATCCTTAAATGGTCACCACATTAAATTGAAAACATCTATATTTATTAGCCTGAAACAAATACTATATCCTTATGAATGTTTTCCCTTGGTAGTTACTTTTATTGCTGGCGCAATTTACGGCCACTAAATTAATGCATTTTGCTAATATAATAGATGCCTTTTTCAGTTGGTTTTTCTGCAAGTTTTTAGCATCACTGCCAGCCTGTTTGTCTGCTGTTTTTCGCAACCGTTTTTCCAACGTTTTAACCGTGCCGATGTTATTGTTGTGCTGTCCATGAGCAGATAATCAAAAGTAAATAAAAACATTTTTCATTGTGTGATTCGCAGACAGCGAAAGGAAACCCCGCAAAAGGAGACAGACTAAGTAAATACTCGTACATTTTTGCGCACATGAATTATTTTCAAGTGCCTGAAGCGGGCAGAGGATAAATTAGGAGAAGCTCCACTCAGCCTTTTGGCATTTTATGAATTATTTCGTAGCTCATTAACGAAAACACGTTTAAGTACTTAAATAATCAACGCTTTTTTGGCCCCAACGCAAAACTTTTGTCAGTCAGTCAATCTCACAGTCTCATGTGTGTGTGTGTGCTTTCAGTGGGATAGGTAATTATTTCAACGATTATTGGGATTTGTTTTGAAAGGCACTCGGAGAAGAGCATTTAATTAACTCTGAAGACACTTTGATTGGAACAATTAGAGGTCTAATCACATTTAACAGAAGAACACAATCGGCTTAAAACACCCCATAGTCTTTAATTGGAGGATGGAATCCTTGAGCATCGGCATTTGTTAGTTAATCAGCTTAAAATTAATTAAGTTTAGCATTAATATGAGGACAAAGGGAAAACGTTTTATGGCACCAAAGCTATGGAAAATGTAATTTAAGCTTTGGGCCTGTTGGATATTATTCATTTCCAAAACAAGGCAACAGCTATTGTTCGAAAATTTAATCACTCAATAGGATTTTAAATTAAGCAAAGCTCTCAGTCATTTTTGTTATGCCTATAAATGTTAGAAATATATGTTTCTTAGAACCTATTTAACGCTTTATGGAACCTTATCTCTTTACTTTCCAGTAAGGAGCTAACTGGAATGAAAAAGTTTTTACAGCGCACACTTAAACTTTTATTTTAGCTACAACATTTTACTAACCTCCCTTTAAAACTCTCCCATTTTATTGCTCAAATTATGTATGGCTTTTATCGATAGTTAAGCAATAATAGTTCATCGCTTTTAGTTAGCTAAATAAAGTTATGATTTGTTTACCCGGTCAACTAATTTTAAATTCTAATTATTGTTTATTTTCGGTTAAGCCGCTCTCTGTGGGGATTCCGTTTGCCATAAATTGTTGATTCACAATTTGTTTGCTTTCAGCACAAGGAAAATATCAAATTAAATTAATTAGTTTTTCGGTGTTTGCGTGTGTGTGTGTGGTGGTTTGTTTCTGTGGGCAACCATATTTAAATTTAAATACGGATTTATATAAGTAAAATTCTGGTAAATTACCCATATTTCGTGAGTTTGAATTGAAGTGCTTTGTTTAGCCTGCCTAATTGGATACAAGATGCACGAAACCTGAAACCTCATGCCGCAATGGACGACTAAATTAGGCTAAGGATCCTTTGTGTCCTCGGACTCCGAATGAAGGAATGGAGTCCTGAGAAGTGAGCAATCTGCCATCTGTTAATCGAGTGAAAAGTGCTCCCTTGTCTGTTGGCCAATTAATAATCGTCCCAACCCAATGCACTTGTCGTCCGACAATTGTCCTTACTCACTCAGCCTAATTAGCCTGCAATGCATTTGAGGCCATATGCCAGCTGTGCACTTGAAAAATTATTAATGGCATT